CAAGACAAGGAGTATGGGTCTAATTCCACATGCATTAGCATAGCACTCCATGGCATTCGAGCCAACTAATCTGCATGTTTTGGCCAAATACATTCAACAAATGATCTATATTTCCAGAGTCACAAGACACAGTCAGACACAGGGTATATTCTCCCAGGAAGAAGGATGCCGATTTGAAAAACAATAATCTGTGTCCCTTCACTTTCTTTAATGTGACAAGTCCAAATTTCAGGGACCCGAACACAATGAATCTGCATTTCTGGCTGGTATTTAGGCTGTGCTGACTTGAAATTTCCTCCTATTTTCCTGTCTTTTTTAGTCTCCAAAAATCGGGACTTAACTCCACACAGTATTTGTGTTATTCATATCAAAAGTAATAATCATTATAGTGAAATAAGAACAATAACAACCACACTCAGGATATACCAGGTACAGTCTAATGGTATCACTGAATTATCACATTCATCTCAAAACTATTGTCATAGTAACCATTTTTAAAACAAGGAAACTTAAACTTGGAGACATTAACCACATGTCCAGAATTATTTTGACTTTAATCCCAGAGTGTCCAAGAAGCCAAGTTAAGTCACTATATTCTGGTACTTTCGATGATGACACAGATGACAAAACAAGAGCAAAGAATACTAGGTCACAAACCTGGTTTTAAGTTCTAGGTCTGCCGATTTCCAGTTGCAGAGCTTGGGGCTGACTCTTTGCTTTTTGTCATACTGTTTGCTTATAAAGCCTGCATCCTAATTTGTTTGCCTGGGGAAGCACTGACCAAGAAGATACCCACTGCTTAGCCCACAAGGTTCACTGAACAACAGCATTTCCACTGGCCTCATTATAATTGTTATCCCTTGATGAATGCCTGCTCATTTGGCAGATTGCACTCCCATTGCACAGCAAGTGCAGCTTCTGGAATCTATTAGGCACTGATTTGGAGACAATAACAGGGGAGTCTCACAGAAACAACAGGAAAACAAAACTAATTTGAGAAACACCATCCCCTCAAAAAAATTACCCAGAGGATATTACAAGTGCAGAGCATCCTTCCTGGATCTCTTATTTTCTCTACCTTCAGGGTTTGTTTTCTCCCCCCACGCCCAGGGATTATTTCCCTCCTGATGACACTATCCACCGCTTTCCTGTGTCAGGCAAGGAACTCATATTTCTGCCACATGAACAGGGCCATGCCTCCTTTTGTTGACCACTGTTCTCCCCCAACCCCCCATTCATTTGTCTCTTTCACCTGCACTGCTCTCTTCCCATAATTCACAGCTGGAAGCCTCAGAGATCTGGCTCTGTGGGTGAGCCTGGGGTAAGGAGGTCCTGGAATGAAGCAGCCCGGTTCCCACACGGTGACACCAGGGTGGGCCACCACCTGTGCGTCCCTGCCCCTCTTCCCAGTGCAGCTTCATCTATCACTTCCCATAGAATGTCACACGCCCAGTTTTCCTTGCTGCAGCAGCCTCCTGGCCACGTACTCTGCAGTCATTACAGGATAAGTTTACAGCCACAGTACTAGACCCCATAGCCCATAACCTGGCTACAGCACACACAGCTAGGTTTCCAGTGAACAAGTGAAGGAAACCCCAGCCACGCCCAGCAACAGCTATGCCAATGCTTCATGCAGGCTGGCAATCAAGAACACAGGAGGGATACCTGCATCCTTCCCCTCACCTCACCCAATAGGCATATAGCCCCAGGGCATCAGCTATGTTCCAGATAAGCAACTAAAAAGAGAAAAAATGTGGGTTTGGGGGTTTTGTTTCTTTCTGATCACTTCCCTCGTCAAACAAGTTTCAGATGTCCATGAGGAACTCACCAGATCATAAACAGGGAACACAGCAGAACAGAATTTTAAAACGAGGTGGGGGAATATGTTTCTCTTAGGTAGATCTGGGCATGCAATAGGGGGCAGGGAAGAAGGGGCTGAGCCACATTTGGTAACAGGACAGGGAAAACTGAGGCCCACTGTGCTGACTGCAACAGCTTCTCCAGCCCCCTTGCTAGTCCTCACCCCAGGGGCATGCCCAGGACCACAATCCATCTCCAGCTGCTTTGCCTGCCCGAGCGGCCAGGAGCTGTGGGCACAGCACAGTGGTCTGCAGGCTGGAGGGCTAGCTTCCCAGCTCATGATCCACCTGGCAATTCTGCAACTTGCTGGCTTCTCCCATTGCACAAGCCTTCAGAATCCATGGGGGAAGGCAGAGCACATTCTTCCCCGTGAGATAATTGCGTGAGAACGTGTGGAGAGTCACTCTCACAGGCTAGTTTCTCATGTCCTGCAAGGAATCCACCTGCAGAGTCTGCATATCTGTTAGGCCATGGTGCAAAGGGTTGATGAACGCTGCCAATCAGCTGGCCTCCACAGAAGGAAGGGAGGCTGTCCTGGACTGCCGTGGCAGGCCCGGGAAACTCACTAGCTCCTTCAGAGTGGAAACAGAGGTGGCAGACAAGGGCCAGAGAAGGCAGAGAGATCACTGGCAGCCCCAGAGCAACACTGTGTGGCAAAGATTCACCTGGCAGGAGCAGGTGCAGACTCTGAAAATGGAAGTGGCGGTTAGGAGCCAAAGGCTGCGGGCAGCCTCTGGAAAGAGGCAGGAAGTGGGTTCTCATGGAGTGCCTTCAGAAGGACTCTGCCCTGCCAACCTCTTTGTTTTCTCTGAGAGAGACTCACTCGTGCAGGGACTCTGATCCACAGAGCTGTGAAACGACAAAGTCCGTGTGCTGCCATGCATGAAGCTTGTGGTCATTTGTTACGGCAGGAAGAGAGAACGAATACAAAGAGCCCAGAGATCAATGACCATATCCAGTGATACTGAAAGATGTATTTTTAAAAAGGCCACATGCAGAGATTTCTGAAAGGCATTTAGTCTGAGACACTTCTGAAGAATACAAGACAAATTTCTGCCTGTTGGAATGAAGTCTTATTCCCACATTGGATATATACAGTTAAATAGTTTTACTGAATAGCTTCCCATTTGTTTCCGGAGGTCCATGGCTCACCCTCTGACCCCAGCCCCATTCCCTGGAAGGCAGCACAGCATCATGTTCCCTCGCCCTTTACTTTCTACCCATGGGAAGCACCTGCAGGAAACTGGAGGGCACTCACACTTAGGGGCTGACCTTGTACTTGTGCAGACCTGAAGGTGCACAGCTCCTCATATGCTGTGTTCCAGGCATCCCATGCCACAATAATCATGGACCAGGAGAGCCTTCAGAGAGGGAGTCCATCTGAAAAGCACTATGAGCAAACCCACAAAACACCCGCGGCCCTTCACCATGTCTCCCACATCTCATCCTCACCCCACCCCACAACAAACGACTTTGGGGTGAATCATGCCAGGCCCCATGCTGCCTGGGTAAACAGAAATGAGAAAGTAAAAAAAAAAAAGAATCAACAGTAACAACAGAAACAATTTAATGTGAAAATTGCATAGGATTAAGCAGTTTATCCAGTTATTATCCATGCAGCCCTGCTAGATGCAAATGACATGCAAATAAAAATACCACCCTCCACAGAAATAGCTAGCTCATTCTCCGCTTTCTCTAGCTTCTTAAGTAAATCCAATTTGGAGAATGAAAACAGAAAATCATGCTGTGGTAGAATGAAATCTGCTCATGCATCTCAGCACCTCTACCAGTATACCAGTATCCTGAACCGCATCCCTAAGCTTAAGGTGTCTCATTTATTAAGAAATGTGTGGCCTGGATGAAAGCTGGCTAAACAGAATTTATAAACACCATGACTTAAATATGATTTAGGGCCCAAGCTCACACAGGACTTGAAACTTTCAAAGTCATAAGCTAAGGGTCCTGAGAAAGTAGAAACAACCCAATTACAGTGTGTGAGGAGGTGTGCCTAAGGGAAGGTCCTCGGGACTCCGGGGTGTGCTCGGAAGACAGTTCCTGTGAGGGGGTTGGTTAGAAGAGCCTGCCTCAGGACTAAGCCTGCTCCTTGCCATCTGCCTGCCATGCAATCCTTCCCCACAGCTGATCCACCTTTACCATCTGCCATCCTCACCAGATGCTCCAACAATGGGGCTGTCTAACCCCAAATCATGAACCAAAATACACCTGTCTTTCCCAAGTAGCTTGCCTTGGGTATGCCGGAGTAGTAACAAAAGTCTTTCTTATGCAGAAAAAGACAAAGAAATACCCACATGTGAATATTAGGACCAAAAGTGAGTGACCCTTCTTCTGGAAGCCACCCTAGATCAACCCTGCTGCCACTCCCTCCTCCCAAGGTCCACAGAGGCAGAGTTCAGGTCTCAACTCAGAATGGACTCCATGAGTGGGTGGTGACTGCAAGAAGGAGTCCCCCAACAGGGCCACCAGGTACAACGTCCTCGGACATGTGTTATCTGTTAACTGCAGGACTCACCCTCTCCTTCTCCCCGCTGCGAGCCTCCACCAGCAACCCCTGGCCCACATATTTTTAGCAGGAAACAAGATAGGAAGAAGACAGTGGCAGGAAGAAGGTGGCAGTGTTCGTCTTCCTCCTATGGCCACAAAGACTATAAAAGCTGGACTTCCCCTTACCCCACGAACATTTGTTTCCTGTCCATAAACAGGAACACCTCACCGTGTTGCTAGCATTTATTTTTAGGAAAAAAAAAAAAAAGAATCTGGAAGACTCTTTTAGAGCCTCCTAGGATACACTTAGATAGGCGAAACACCTTCTAACACGCAGTGGCGTTAACATGGTAACTACGGTTGACAAAACTGAGTATCTCAAAGCAGTCAGAAGAGAGGAATTTAAATATTGTTAAGGCAAAGAAAGACAAATGTGTACAGCGGTGGATAGGCCAGCTTCCTGGTGGGACTGTCATACACTGTATACAAGGGCTGAAATGCCAGCCGGTACTTATCCATGGGGACACACACTCTGAGTTAGTTACTAACTCTGAAATACTTGACAGTCCTACCCTCCACGCCCCCTGCAGCTGGGGAGCACCTGGTAGCATTCTTGTAGGTGGTCTGCTCGGGCTTACCTGAGCCGGGAAGAACCAGAAAAAGAGGTTGCTGTTGTAGGTCTTATTCACAGTGATGTAGCCAGCATAACTCTTCACGTTCACCACCGAGAAAGGACTGACCAAGCTCAACTCTTTCGCTAAGAGAAAAATATACCCAAGGATTAGAGGAAAATACCATAGGAGCCATCTGTGAGACTGGTCTCCGGGAGATCCAGGAGGCCACCAGGAACTGGCAGCAAATCCCAGGGGGCCTTGGCCAGTCCCACATGTACCACACAATTCAGCCAAAGACCAGGAAGATGCTGAAATCTTTCTGGGCATGGGATCCCCCAGATGTATATCATACATTGTAGTAGGCATTTAGTAAAAGGAAGAAAAGAAATCCACCTGTCACCAGCCGACACATAATCCAAGGTGTTCACACCAGAACACAGGGGCATGAGGGAGTCACCTGAGCCCAGGGCTGTGACTGCCAGGAAAGGTGCATGGCCAAGCAGCTGTCACCAGGAGGGAGGCCCACATGCTCACCCAGAGGTTTCCAAGAAGGCCAAATGATGGGCCTCGGGGGCCGCAGATGGAGCCACCCCTTGGGATACCTACATCCCATGTCAGAGAGTGGGTGTGCATCCCGGCTGCCCCATCCCCACCACCCATCAACGTGCCTTAGAAGCAGGTGATGGCTCAAGTTCTGAGCTCTTTCCGTCCATGCAGGAGACCCCATACCGAGTTCCTGCTGGGGAAAGGCAAGAAGCAAGGCTGGAGCTGAACCCATGGCTACTCAGTGGCAGTTCAATAGGCTGACAGAGCCACTGTACAGGGCAGGGGCACTGGTTTGCTTACGGCAGCCAAGGAGCAGACACAGGCAGGATCAAGAGGAAATGTTCAGTCCGTTGAACAAAACAGTAGCAGGAAGGCTACATATTACATGGGAATTATACCTCTTTTCCTCATTTTAAAGATGAGAAAACTAAAGCACAGAGAGGTTAAGTAACTTGACCAGGGTCACACAGTCAGTGCAGGAGAGACAGAATTTAACTTAGTGCTGGACTACAGAGCTTGCTCCTTTTCCTGTCCTGCTGCAGGCTTCTCAACTAGAGTTCATCCGGGAGGGTGAGGGGCAGTGATCGGGATGAGAATAGAGAAGGAACAGAAAAGAGGTAGCAGAGTATGGAGGGGAAATGGAAGAGGAAGTCTGGGTGAAGAATCCTTGAATGCAGAAAAGGACTGCGTGCCCAGTGAAGAACCAACACCCCAAGTGGGGTTCTGTGGCCTGAGACAGAAGCCAGAGACTGGTTGGCAGCTGATGGCAGTGAGTGGCTCTTATCGACACCAGTGAGGGGGCGATCTCAGCAAGGCCCCCCCCCACCCCCCTCACACCTGGCTGCTCCACAGGCATCAGCAGGGTGCTGCCTCAAGGCTGCAAGTCCCTCTTCTAAAATGGGCATGCCTACATCAAGAGGCCGTTTACACCTAGACCTCTCTGCCAACACCTTGGGCCCCTGTGGGCAGGCTCTCCATTCTCAGTGGCGGAAGGCGCGCTGCCTGCCCTGTCTGCAGGACTCACAGGGTCCCTGCAGGTGAGAGCCCAGAAAGACTGGCATCCTCTGGAAAATGCACCTGCTTATGAGTGTCAGGGCACACATGGGGGCTGGGGCGGGCAAAGCTAAGGTGTTGACAGATGCTCGAGAGGGTCCTGCCAGGCTGGCAAGGAGGGTCCCAGCCCGGACCTGAAATCCTAGCCAGGTTTCCCAGCAAGTCCCTCATTTCCAACCCTCTTCATTCTGTGCAAAATGTGGATACTGACTCACCTACCACAGGCACTGGGTAGGGACCAAATGACAAAGTGCATGTGAATGTGCCCAGAGCAGGACTTAGAGCAGGGAAGGAAGTTAACACTGGTCCTGGGGGGGTCTGGTCTGGGTTAGCTCAGTTTTCTCCCAGGTAAGGTTGCTGACCCAACAACCTCTGTAGCTCCCCTCTCTCTCTCTGAAGCAAGATCCATCCCTCACCATGAGACAAAAACAGAAGAGACTGCCAGAAAGACTTGGGGAGAAGGAACAGCAGGAGGTTGGGGGAGTGCAGAGCTCGGCCTGACCCCTAGGTCTTCCTCCCTTCTGCTACCCTTCAGTTCTCAGTGAGCCCTCCAGGGCAAGAAACACTTCAATCACTGTGGAAGTATGTTTTAGCAGAACTAGTAAGCTTCTCAAAATTAAACAAAAATACCTCAACACCAGGAGGGGACAGAAGTGAGAGCTGGGCTAGAGAATAGGGCAGCAGAGATGGATCCGGGCAGGAGAGGATTCACAAAAGATGACAAAGAAAAATGAGGTAGGTCAAAGGATAATGAGAAAAAGAGAGCATGGATCATAGAGAGGGGCTGGAGGGAACGGGATGAAGGAGAGCCTGACTGGATTCCCAGGCCTTCCTGGGGCCAGCAGAACCCAGAGCTCGCTGCTCTGCAAGCAGCTCCCGCGCTCCCCACCCTCCCTTTGGAAAGATGCAAAGCCTCCCCTGAGCTGCCTTCAACTCAGGTACATGTCATTCCCTCCTGCCTCATTCAGCAGTGGAAGGAAAATGGGAAAATGCCTATTTCTCTTTGCAACCTGTGGGACTTGGCATACCGAGTGCCACACTTACGGCATTCAAGAAAACCTTTGTCCTGAGTATGTGGAAGTAATGAAGTAAAACCAGTCACCTCTGAAGGCAGGGTGCTCTCGTTGAAATCTTACTGAGACATTTTCTCGGGTGCATAAAATGGCGTCACCTCGTTCCTTATGTCCCCAAAAATCACAGTAAAAGGAAAAGTTCTTTCCACAAAAATGATACTTTTTTTTTCAATGTCCTGTTCACCCAGCCAGAGTCTATTAACAAAATGTGGGGGGAAAAAAAACTCTCAACACATAGCAGTTTGTATCCTGGCTCTGTGACTCACCACACAATCTTTCAAAACTTTCCAACAGTCTCACAAAGGAAACTGTCTTCTTGGGGGTGATTCTGCTTCCACTGTGTCAGCTAGCACTGTTACCAGTGTTAAAGACCCGAGCCCTTTCCAAAGGACTGCTGGACATCAAAAAGGATAAAAGGATTGAACCTGCTAAGCAGGGGGCATGTCCCGTTCCTGAAGACTTGAATCATTGCCAGTGTGGACAAGACACTGACAGATCAAACGTAATAATGAATTAGGACCTCACAACCAAATTGTCTTTACAGTGTGTGAACATGCAGTGTTTGCAAACACGTTGAGAATTCGCCTCCTGTGCTCATTCTGTCTGAGAGAATCAGGATTTATTCTAGTTGCACAGAAAGTAAACATGCAATTACAATTACATCAAACTAAACCAGCTAATTGGAGACTAAAAAAATAAAAATTTCCCATGTCTTCTAGTGAACCACTGTTTTTCTCAAAAATATTCCACCGCAATATGAAGCAGCACGTTCTGAGGCTCTGACAGGCTCGATAAACAAAGGGGACTAGGGGGGAGCCTGTTGACCATCTGTCCAGAGCTTCCTGAACTTTCCATAAAGCAGATGAATAAAATTATCCCTAATTATGCTGTCAGGGCTACATTTGAATATCCAGATGTACCAGTGCTTGGATCAGCCACTTAAAATTCAGCTCAAAGATTCTGAATGTGTAACTTAACTTTTACTGATGTCATTAAGTAGATTTAATATTTTACACATAGCACTCGCTGGGTGAAGATCCATCTGGCTTGGCACAGCAGGGTAGGATGGAAATCTACCTCCCTCAGAATCTTTCTGAGCTGCCTGCCGCTGCCCACAGCTCTGGAATGTTCTTAGACTAAAAAACACAGCAACAGGGTGGAAGTGAACCCCTCTCACAGGCATTTCTCTCAAACCTGTCCACTTGATTCTACCACACCCACGACAGACACACCTGGGTCACTCTCGCTTAATGCCTTTCGGTGAGCCATGTCCCTCGAGTCTGCAGCTACTTCACACAGCACATGGGGTCTCTGCTGCAGGCTCCGGGGCTGGCAGATGCACATCTGTTTCAATTTCAATCCCATCACTCTCTAGTTTTCAGGCCCCAAATGTTCCATTTTTCTGGGTGTCAGTTTCCTCATCTCTACAATGGGAACAATAATTATGCCTTCCTTGTAAGGATTAAACAAACCAGTAGATGCAAAGCACGATGCTTTCAAGATTAGGACTCAAATTCAAATTTCACAAATACTAAGTGCCTGTTACAGGTGCTGTGCTAGACACAGGATTATAATTATTAAATGTTGGCAACTAAATATTTTATTACTACTGAACAGAAATGCTACAACTCATTGATAAGGAAGATTATCAAGCCCTATCAAATCCTCACTTTATCTCAAAACTCAGATAACACACCAAAATAATTATCAGTTGAAAAGAACAATTGAATAAAACTACTGAAAAGACTCTTGCAAGGAACAATTGTGTTTTTTTTTTAAAAAAAAAAAAAAAAGCTTGCTGAAAGCTCACCAGTAGTTTTCTGGTTTAAACTCACCTTTCCTGATGTTCCCAGCTTCAATGAGAGGGGTCAGAAACAGCGGCTGCCCCACATTTCCCTTAGGCTCCTTAGTGACGTGGGTTTTTTTGAACATGGAGCGGAACAGCCCCTGCCCAGGGCTGACCATCAGCAGGACCAGCAACACGACCACCTTCCACATGGCACCAACCAGCCCCTCCGGATCTAGGAGGAAAACGATAATATTCCACAAATGAGTCACAATGCAAAAAATACATTTCTTCATCCTTCCCTTTGTTTTTAACTGTATACTAGGGCTCTTGGCTAAGCAGATGGGATACTTTCATGAGGAACAGAGACCCCCCCCCAATCCCTGCTCAGCTGAAGTTCATGGTCTAGTATGGGGTTCTTTGAGATTTTTAAGATGGGGTCTGGAATGTACACTCCATGGAGAATTAGACGAAACCACAAGGCAACACCAACGACGTAACCGACCACCACATGAGGGGTGTTGCCCATTCTCTTTGTCCTTATAGAAGATCAGTGAAGGTCTAAGAGCAAGCCCAGACGGGGTCTGACATAAACAGAAGGCACATGGGACTCACAGGAGTCGGAGGGAAGGCACGCGAGACCAGCCAGGCAGCGTGAGCCACGCCGAGCTCTCAGGGACGATGTAAAGCAGGCAATGAACACCTGGGCATAACTCTTCTTGGACCAATCACCTTATTTTGTTATCCAAGAAAATTCAAGAAGGAAGGAAGCGAGGGAAGGTCCCACAGCTCCAGTTAGGGCCCCCCCCCCCCCCCCCCGCCCCATCTTGCTAGCTGACAGGAAAGCTCAGCGCGCACACCCTTTCAGGCCTTCATCTGGGCTACGAGTCACGACAAGTTACAACTGGGCACCATCGTGGGCTCTCACCTGGACTTGAAGCTGACTAGAATCTCAAGCAAGGATTATTCCATGAGGAAAACGACCCACAGGAATACTGCCATTTTACCGGTTTCTTATTGCCTCCCCAAACAACATCCTCTTGTGAGGCGCCTCCATTTTTTGTCTGAAAGTGTGTCCATTTTTGTATGTGTGTCTCCATTTTATGCTGTAACCAGAGGTCTGAGTCTGTTTTTTCAGTCCCAGCCACCGGTCCCAAGGGAACGCAGACAGCCACGCGTCAGGCACCCCGGGAAGCCTGATGCGGAACCCAAGACTCTACCGCCACACCGGAACTCAGCAACACCGGACCGGTTCCGGGGCGCAGGGCCGTCAGACACGGAAGTCCGGGTCCAAGACAAGGTTTGCCTAGCCAGGTGTTTCCTCGCAGCTTTCTCCTGATTTTTCCGTAGAGCTTCCCACGCCCCTAAACGAGAGGCCGATCTGAAACGTTACTTCTGCAAGTGATAGTAACAAAAACCCTCTTTTCCTGACGAGACTGGCCTTTCCCAAGTGTGGCTGGGATCCACAGGCAGGGCCTTGTCCTTTAACGAAAGGACAAGACCAGATCTCCTTTTAATCTAAAATTTGGACTTTTTTTCGTATCGTGGGATTTTTTTTTTTCATTATCGAGAGTTTCACTTCAAACGTCACATTACAATGTGACTCATCTTGGTAAATGAGATTTTTGGCACCCTTAACCTTTATATCTGGGCCCGGAACCTCTCTCGTCACCTTAATCCCAGTACCTAAAAATTATGGTAACTGTGACATTATTCTGACCTACTACAAAGTTCTCAACAAAATAGGTGAAGTGATAAGCGGGTGTGCAGCCTTGTGACGAACAGACCTCTGCCTGCCGTTATAGTGTGTGGGATGCAGTCCAGCTCGGCTCCCTGCCCCGCAGCATCCTGCCCGTGAAGACCGTGGGAGTCGGAGGCCATGGCCCAAGTAATTTGAGTTTCTGCCACCCTGGTGAATGAGCTCAATTGCATGCACTCCAGCCCTAGCCTAGCCCAGCCACTGTGGACATTTAAGAAGTGAACCAAGGTATGGAGCGCCCCCTCTCCTTACTTATTCTATTTTAAAAATTATTTGTATTTATGACATGAATAAGTCTCCCACTCAGATTTATGAATGCAAAGAAAGAAATACAATTATGCAAATATTAACGCTTGCTTTCGACTATTCTGTGCTTTCAATGCCAAGCCATTAGAACATCTTTTAAAAATGTATAATAGTCTACTAACCATATGCTTATCACAATCCAATTTGGCACAGCATGAAAATATCGGTTGTAACAAATTTACAACGCTTTCCAGCCACATTTCTCCAATAAAATAAGAGTTAATAATTATAATTTGATTGAGTATGTAAGCCTTGTTATGCCTCTCAGAGCTAATGTAATAGAATTCCCCACATTTAATGTAAATAAACACAACCAAATAAATATGGAGCCAGAAATGTTCTTGCTTGTTATTGAGTATAACAAGGAATAAAATGAATTTAGAGACTAAAATTAGGTTCCCTCAAAGCTTAAGGGTAATGGCCACCAAAGCACTGTTAAGGCAGTTTTGTTATTTTTAAATTATATGACCTTGTTACACTAGTGTTTTAACAGCATAGCTACTTTCAAAAAAATGCCTGAAATCAACAATGCTACTCCCTAGCTGGTAAAGGAGATGAAAATGTGATATTAAAAATAAATAATAGGAGAAACTCTTCTTGTAAGAGGTTTTTCTTTTACCTAGGGGCAAACAAGAAGGGAGCCAGGCCATGCCATGCTAATTCATCATTTGTCTTCCTGCTGCAAGTCCCTAACTGCACCCCTCCCCGCATGGAAGCTGTTAATATTTAAATAACCAAGATTGTTACAGCACTTTTCAGGTAAGCAAATGTTAATTCAAAGATGGTACAGAAATAGGCAAAAGTGGCCCTGTCTTAATTGACATATAACTCTAATACATTAAGAGTTAGGTTAGTTGAGTGGATCTCATTAACATTTAATCAAATAAGTCTTCCAGACATGGTTCTCATTCTTCATTGCAGACTCACTCAGCAGCCAGAATGCCCCAGCTCCTCCTAGCTGTCACCTCACCTCTCCTCATTAAAATGAAAGCTATTATCAGGAATGGAGAAGTGGGCTTTTCTCTCTTTTTCCCTTCTTTAACACCTTCCACAAATGTTTTTGCTTATCTTAAATTAGTCTAATTTTCCTACTTACTAAGCATTTATTGAGCACATTTCTACAAGTGCTTGACTAGAAAAAGGCTGTCTCCCCCAAATGCACAGAAAAACCTTAGACGTTACCATATCTACTTGAAATAATATGAAGACATTGGTGCTAACTTATACCAGATTTAAGGGTTCAGGCAAAATGTTCTTCTTAATAAATGTTTACAAACCCAGAAAATCTAAGTGAATACACAGCAACATTTAAAGAATCAAATAAACTAAACTCATACGTACAAAATTTGCTAAAATTGTCTTAGTAAACCTTACATATTACAGTTAGAAACCAAATGTCCAACACACAACTTTTTATACTAAAGCTAATATCACAGTGTTCCTTAGAATAATGAAAACTGTTCAAAAGAATTTAAAGTTTCTACAATAAGATATCAGGCAATTAAGTTACTGTACATCAAAAAGGTGGAATTATACACAGAAATTAACATGACTCTACAAAGAATGGTCCAGAAAATATTAAGCATTAGAAATAAAGAAAAGCCAGATACTAGGTTAATTATTTGATATTTTTTCCTTATTTAATGCTCCTTAAGAATTTCTAAGTTTTCAATAACAATCTTATAATTAGAAAAAATAGCTTAGGTTTTGCTTTTCTTAAAACAAAATGAAGCATCTTGTAGAGAAATGACCAAGGTATGATGAACCAAGAAAATGTTGTTTCTTATTCCTTGTTACTACCTGGTTATGACCTCTTGCGTTTCCTAGGATGAGGTTCTATTGCTCTTCTAGAATTGATTTTTCAGTCTCTCACATTCTATTAAGTCGTGTCCTGATCTTCTGACACCATAGAATCTTGCAGACTTAAATTTTTGCTTTGGCAAATAAAAATTCTCGGCATACATGTGAGATGCTGTGGTGATAATGATTATTTCTAGATTTGTAGTTCATTATGCCTATAGTCAAGTCCCTAAGAAGTGCACACCAATTTAGTACTAGGCAAATATTTGCTAATTTGTTAGATCTAAATAATTAGACTAAATCAAGGTATTTAATATTTGTGTGATCCAATTCCTCCCTGTGACAGAACAGAAATCTCAAAAGTAACTTACTTGATGAAGATTAGTGAGCCAGAGGACCGAGACTGAAAGTCAGGATTCCTTTATGCACTAAATCTAATCTGCTTTCCACATTCTCTTCTTTGGCTACAATTATAATCATAATTATAATTACAATTATAATAATAATATTCTGACTCTTTTATTATCTCAATAGCCAATAACAGCTTGTAGCAGTCAGAATATCAGAGGATGTGGTAAACAAGAAAATAAACACAAACATTGATAAATAAATGTCTCCAGAGAAGTTTGATTTCTAATAATAGCTCCGTAGTGACCTAGGTTCTACCACAACTCATCAGTAGGCCCTGGACAAGGCAGTAATTCCAGAGTCCCACTTTCTATGCTGGACCCAGCCCTGAGAACCGCTGGTTAAATTTCCACACCTTGGGCCCGGCACGGTGGCGCAAGTGGTTAAGGTCCTCGCCTAGCACGCCCGGGATCCCATATGGGCGCCGGTTCTAATCCCGGCAGCCCCGCTTCCCTTCCAGCTCCCTGCCTGTGGCCTGGGAAAGCAGTCGAGGACGGCCCAAAGCTTTGGGAACCTGCACCCGTGTGGGAGACCCGGAAGAGGCTCCTGGCTTCGGATCGGCAAAGTATCGGCCCGTTGCGCTCACTTGGGGAGTGAATCATCGGACGGAAGATCTTCCTCTCTGTCTCTCCTCTCTGTATATCTGCCTTTCCAATCAAAAAATAATAAAAATAAATCTTTAAAAAAAAAAAAAATTTCCACACCTTGTGAGCACCCGTTGTTCAGTAGCCATTGTTAAAAGGTAAACTACCGAACATTAGCAGTGAAGAAGTTATATTCTTAAATCAAACTTATGTAAAAGTACTGAAATCTGTTCATTTCCTAGGTATTACTATATTTTACTATTTTCTACAGGCTAGAGTTAGGGTTTTTATATGTCTGGTGGGCAGATTATGTAACTGTTTTCATCCATGTATCTTTTTCCACCTCCAAGTTCAAGATTGTTATTAGTGGCTTAAAATGAGCAGTGATAGGAATGTTTCTACCACAGAAATCAGCTCCATAGATCCTGGATATTCCCCCTGCCCCAGAAAGTAAGTTGAATATTTACCCTGAATATATTGGACTCCCTCTAATTATTTGTAAGATGAGGTAAGTATGTGGAATGACCAGTAGAAGGTCAAACAGTAAAAATTCCAATTATACTCTGTACAAGCAACCAGTAGCATACCTAGACTCACGAGGCCCTATGACAAGACAGCCGAGAGCCACTGGAAGGCGTGTGTTCCACCACTGGGAGATGACTCAAAAACAGAAACTCTGCAAGGAGGACAGAGAAACCAGGAACAAAGGTTTTTGCCTCCTTGAAAGGGCAAGGCAGAAGGTCCATGGAAAAATGAAACTAACAGATAAGCATATTTTGCTTCAAACATATTTTCAAATCAATATATTTTCTTCATTATGAATATTTTTTTACTATGCATGTTTCTCATGAACTTTTTGAATATCCCTCATTTATTTCTCACTTTTCTCCTTTACACATCCTTAACTTGAGCTATAGATTATTCTGATCAAAGGTTAACTATCTTCGGTAATGAACCTTTTAGCTGAAGCTAACATATTTATTTGGATTCCCCTTCCATATTTAACTGGCCTTTTGGCTCCTGGCATGATAAGATTATTCCATTAAACGCATGCAAGCCAACCAGTAACAGACACTTCTATCAAATCTATCATACAAGAAAGGTTTGAAAATGTGGTTCTATTTAAAACAGATTTATTATTCAGGCATTTCCAATGCTTTTGAATTCTGTAACAGAACACTATTGTGCAACCCTGAATTAAATACCCACCCAAATCCCAAACCAAGCTGTTTTGCTAAAAAGATTTCCATGTAAACCAATGGTGAAAGAAAACCTTTATTTTGATGGATCTGCTATTCAATCTTCTTTAAGAAATCATTTTAATTTTAAAAATAGATCTTTGAAGTACTCTTTTTCCCAGGGAGGGCATGGTGTGTGACATCCTGGGTAAAGGGCGACCTTTAACTGCAGTGGCACGAACACTCACACACCTATCTCCCTGGCGCAGGCTGCTTCCCTGGCATCAGACAACGGTCTCTAATCTCTCTAATGAATTAGGCAGCCCTATCTCTGTCACCACAGCCTTGGGCTCACAGAGAAGGAAGACAGACTGAGTTATGTGGCAGGTACAGAATAAAAAGAGGAAGAGGAGAAAAGAATATTATCTGATACCCTGGTAATGAGCATTACCTTGAAATCTCATTCCACCAGAAGGAAAATGTGAGTGGGGAATGGGGCTGGGAGGATGGAAGTAAAAGGGTAGACTTGTCCCAGTGTTACCAACAGTTTTGAAGTACAAAGCTTCTCCCTGGAATCAAAGACATCTTGAAAATATTAGTAGTAACAGCTACCAAACACCAAACGCTTCCCTCTGTATCTGGGAAATTTCAACAATTCAGGCAAAAATGAAATTTTAAAAATAAATATGAGGGTGGGCATTCTACCTCATAATGAATTCTAGCATGCTGCATTGGAGGGCTAGGGTTTGAATACCAGCTCCAACTTCCCGCTAATACGTTTTCTGGGAGGCAGCAGGCAATGACTCAAATGTTCTACCATCCACATGGGAGACTTGCATTGGGGTCCAGGCTCCTGAATTTGGCTTGGCTCAGGCTGGCTGTTATAGGCATTTCAAGAATGAACCAGCAAATAGAAACTCTGTCTTTGTCTCTTAAATAAAATGAAAATAAATAATAAAATTAAGAAAAAATATGGGGGGTATTATTATGGCACAATGGATTCAGCCACCTGTAACATCCCATATGAGAGTGTGTGTCTGGCTATTATACTTTCCAGCCAGTTGCCGCTAATACATGTGGGAAAGCAACAGAAAAATGGCCCAAGTGCTTGGGTTCTTGCCACCCACATGAGAGGTCCCAATGGAGTTCCTGCTTCTAGATGTCAGCCTGGCCCAGACACCCACCATGGGCAGCTAAGCAGTGAATCAGTGGATAGAAGGTTCGATTTCTCTCTTTCTGCCTTTCAAATAAGTAATACAAATTTTAAAAAACAAAAAATCTTTTTTTGAATGGAGGTCAATTCATGATACACAGAGAATGGCTACATGACAACAGATGTAGTGACTGGAGTCCTGCATTGACCCGTCAAGCAATACCCAGGATTGATGAGCAAACTCTAAAACCTGAAAGAGGTAAGGAAGGATTCTCTCCTCCTGTGTCAGAGCAGCATGAGCCTACTGATGTGTTGGTTCTGCACATACATCTACACAACTGTAAGGCAAGAAACTGTTGTTCTTTTAATCATCCAGATCATGGTATTTAGTTGGACCAACCCAAGGAAACATACACATGGATAGTGGAGCCATCAATGGAGGTAGAAAAGATGCTGGAATGAGTTGGGAAGGAGCCAGGGAGGGTACACGACTCCTTAAGAGTTCTGCTGAAGGCCAAGCATGATGGCTCAGTAGCTAAATCATCATCTTATATATTCTGGGATCCTATATGAGTGCCAGTTACTGTCCCAGTTGCTCCACTTCCCATCTGGCTCCCTGCCTGATAGGGCAGTGAAGGATGGCCTGGGGCCTTGGGAGACCCATAGTAGGTACCTGGCTCCTGGCTTCAGATTAACTCAGTTCTGGCTGTTGTGGCCATTTGAGGAGTGAACCAGTGGATGGAGGCTCTTCCTCTGTGTTCCCTTCTCTCTGTGAATCTGACTTTCCAAAGAGAGAGAGAATTCTTCTGAAAGCTGCCTATTAGGCATCAGAGCAAAAATTTTGAGTGCCCAAGAAGGAAGTACAAAAGGAAGCTACACTTATTTTTTACATAAGTGTATGTAGCATTGTCATAAGCTAGTATTTCCCTTGGGGTCCTTCACAGAATATTAGTTCCACAAGACATTAATGGATTTTTATTTGGGAAAAAAAAAGAAATTCCATGTTAGATCAAATTAAATGGATTTTTTTTTTTTTTGGTAAATCATCCAGAACCTTCTATGCATGGACAACACATGTTTCTTAGACTGTGGTGCTTCCAACCTTCAGGCCAAACCTTTATATGAGACACATCCAGATGCACAGACTAAGTCCTGGTTTAAACAATATTCTGATGCCCCTTGGCCATCACAAAGCATAGCTGAATATAAAGCCAGATCTGGATGCTTTGAAAACCCACATCTTTTCTTTATTCCACCATACAGATGATATAACAAAGTCGAGCTTCAGAGAAACTTCGGACAGAAGCAGATTTTTTCCGTATACACTAGATTGTTTTGGTTTACCATTTGCAGGATTTATCATGACTGAAATTGAATGCGATTTAAAGACAGATTTATCTGCAAAGAATTGAAACTCACAAGGCTCAGAGATTGCTTCATAATGGATTTCTAGTGTATCACGGTGCTTCCCAAAGGTCATAAAGAAATGGAATAAGATAAATTTATTTTGTTCTGAAGAAATTAAATTCATGCATGGCTTCTTCATAGTATACATCTTCTAAAAACTTTTAGAAAATTTCTTGTATGGATGGATGTGAAAATTGATTTACAGCAAATGCATTTCTAGTGTATATCCTTCAGCTTTGAAAAACATTTTTTTTGTGTGTGGAATGGCAATCAATCTCCATCCTTTAGGACTTGAAAATCTCATGGCAAACACAGTGACTTCCAGTCAGAAATTCTTTATTAGTTTTGCTCAACCGAATATAGCCCTGTTGTTTTTAGAATCAGCCTCCATTTTGTTGCCTACTATGATGAAATTTTTCAGATGCAAAATTAGGAAACCTGGTATGGTCAGATTGAGTACAATGAATAAGAACATTTTACCAAAGAGAGACAAGAAACTTGGCCTGGTAGCCATCAGACCATGCAGAGGAAGGAGAAGCCAACATGTGCCTTAGGCGTGTTGCTTCTTCCCAGTTCCACGTCCATCTCAATGTAGAGAGAGTCCAATGGTGTAACACTCCCCTTTTGTTGTCCTCTCCCTCACTCCACGGGGGCCTGGGATGATAAGTCAATTTTGGTAAGCCAGCCATGTGAGGTTCACTTACTCCCTTTTCCCACATGGAGCATTGCTTTTCTCTCTTCACCCTTGGTGAGCCCATGAAAGGCTGGGCAGATCTCGAAGCATTGGTCTAAGTATCTGCTAAAACACAAGAGCTCAGGTCCTGCTGTCTCCCTCAGGAATAATAATGAAATAGTAATAACTGTTCTGAGATCTTCTTGCCTTGCTCTTTGTTCTTTCTGGATATCTCCAGAACCCAGCAGAGGTGCCACATCTTAGGCTCCCTCAACAAAGTTAAATGTAGGTTTCATTTCCAAGTGTAACATTGTTGTCCTGCCAGAATTTCAGTCATACATGACTGAAGATGATCATGATTGGCCATTTCCAAAAATTGGAAATCCCACACTAGAAAGAGAGTTGAACCTGAGAATTGATCTTGAAAATCCAACCAACAGAAATGGATCACATGGCTGACCCAAGAGCAACAAAGTCACTCAGCCAACCAGGGATGCATTCTCAAACCCAACGTTGAGAGCACTGAAGGCAGAGAAAAGAAAGAAGGCCCCCAGACTGGTTCCTCTGGTTCCTGAGTCACTGAGACAACCTCATGTTGTGACTCTCTGCAGTTTCTGGAAGCAAAACCAAACAAAACTCTTCAACTCTCTCACTGGCAGCATACTGACTTGTGCCCATACCATTTGCTAAAATCATCATTGATCTTTACAGTGGCAGATTCAAAAGAAAAATTTCAGTTTTACCATATTGGATTTCTCCAACACATCAACCACACCCTTATAGTAAATCTGTCATTGACTTACTTTCTATAATCCGTGCTCTCCTGGATCTTTCAGAATTTTGTCCTTATGTTTTCTTCTTCCTCTACCTTCCTCTTAAATACTAGGTTTTTCAGAATTCTGTCCCTGGTGTGCTGCTTATCTCACCACACACGCTCTCCTAGACGTCTGATTACTTTAACTCACACTTTCTGCTGGCACCAACTCAAAAGGAAAACTCCTCTCCAAAGTTTCAGATCTACCACCCAACCGATGCCCCATGGGTACTTCATATGCAGCAAGCCAAAGGAAACTTATTCCTTCTGCTTTTAAAACATGGAGAATTGGACAGGTGTGTTCCTCTTTCCTCATGAAACATCTTCAGAATTAAGAACATAAAGACATGCAGATCAAAGTGTTGCTGCTGGTGGTAAATGTCAAGGAGAAACAGGCTCATTCACATTACAGGACAGGAGGCTCAAAACAAAATGATAATGCTGAAACCCAGCTCCTATATAGCACCCATTGTTGTAGAATTTAGAGATTGGCAGGCTCCAGTCTCCCACAGTTTCCCAGTCAGTCTCTGTTAGCCTAAGATGTCTTTGCAAATCAACCTCCTACTAAAATTCACCTACCAAATTGAAGTAGTGCAGCCAGCCCCACAGGGTCCCTGATTATAACACTCACAAAGCAATTTGCCTCCTCTAGAGATAACATTTTGATGTTTGATCTTGTCTTGGGGATCTTTCCAGGAATGGCAAGTTCTGAGCAAAAAGCAACCATCACCTTACTGACTCGTACTCACTTTGCCTTCCTCAAAATTCCTGAAGAAATATAACACTGGCCACAGTTCTAGTCCCAGCTATTCTACTTCTGATTCAGCTTCCCACTAAATGTGCCTGGGAAAATAGCTAAAGATGGTCAAGTGTTTGGGACCCTGGCACCCATGAAGGATATCTGGAAGGAGCTCCTGGCTCCTGGTTATGGCCTGTTCATTGCAGCCAATTTGGAGAGTGAACCAGCTGATGAGAGATTCTCTTTTTTCCTCCCTTCCTGCCTCCCTCCCCCACTCTCTAATTTCTCTTTGTAACTCATACATAAATATATCTTAAAACACACACACACACACACACACACACACACACACACAAAGGAGACCCACAGGCACACTGCAGATCAACCATGGACTTGAAAATGAGCTGAACACTTGTCTCTCAACCTCAATTTCAGTCTTTACGACGCTTTACCCTGGTGTCAGTGACTGACTTACCACCTGTCAGGTAAGGGGACTCAGGTTGTGGGGATACTACAAAAACCCTACAGAAGGCGAAGGTGAGCTTGGGACTGACAACACAAAGAGATCAGTGAAGGTCTACAACAGCATAGTGGGATGGAGGAGGGAATGGGATGACTTACTGTACAGAAAGTTTATGCTTTAAAAATTTTAACTAGAGACAGCGAAAGTTGAAAAAGAGATAAACCAAGAAAAAGTCCACACGCAGAAATATCCCAACCCCTTAAGCACTGAGAACTAAGAACAGTAGCAAGGATCTCTGTGGAGGGTAAAGGATTCCTCTCTAAGATAAATGAATTCTGTTAGAAGTCCCACACGTGTGTGGTTCCTGCAGGCAAACACCTGGATTCTGCCAATCAGCTCCAGGGAGCTGGTGCATTGATGACCATTCTCTTAAACCATGAGCTGCTGACCAACAATTTTGTTTCTCATGCTTGATCCGATGGCAAGAAGCAATCAGATATTTGAGAGAAAAGCCTCCAACTTGAAAGAAATTGTGAAAAGATCCCAGGAGAAACAGCAATGCATGGAGCGGAGTAACTCTGGAAAGAAAACACATCCTCACTGAGATAAGACCCTGCATTCGCTAAGCAACTGAACAAAACAAAAGGAATCAACAAAAAACAGCTTAAAAACATGACAGTTGATGTCTTAAGAATCTGATTAAAAGGCAGGGATATCTCACAGAAAATATACCTGAATGAGAAAAGAACTTCAAATAACTGAAAGTGGAAAAGAGAGAATTAGAAGGTTGGTCCTGAAAGACCAATACCTAATTAATAAATAAATAAATTTTTTTTCATCCAAGAAAATGCACAGAAAGGTGGACGGCATGTCCAGATGCACATGGAGGATATGGCAATTCCCTGGGGCCTGCAGAGGACATCTGGTACCATAGCAGAGGAAGGAGGGCAGAACAAATTGAACAACGAACTACCCCAGCCAATTGATGGCAGCAAATATCTGGGTGAATGGACACTCTAAGTTGGACTATGTCAACCAACGGTCCTTGGAAGGATTTCCTCTTCCTTGGATCAGTGAAATCAGCAGCATTTCAGAATTCCACTTAAGCAGAACCCTCGGAACATGCTCCACATCAGGAACCCAAGGATGATGTCGGGTGGCTGTTCCCCATCCCCAGGTTCTCAGGCGGTTGGGAGGCTAGGTGCGACCTCTCCACTTGTCTCCCCATTTCTCCCAGGAAGAATAAAAAGAAAATTTGGAAACAATGGTCTTACCCACTTTCCACTAACCCTCGATCCTTCTCATCCTGATCACCTATGTTAACATCATCAAAATAAAAAAATTGAAATATACAGAAAGATCCCAGAAACAGACAGAAATAGACACTATAAACTTTCTACAGAGACAGAGAGAGGTTGCACACCAAGACTTAAGAAACAAAATAGCAGCAGAATTTTCAACAGGGGCAAGAGCAGCTACAAGACACTGCAAACATTCCTTTAGAAATCTGAGATAAAATGACACTGTGGAATTTTGTATTCAAAGTATCAATCCAGTATGAGGACAAATAAAAGACATTCAGGAATATATAAGATTTTAGAAATGTGATTCTCATATACCATTTTTCATAAAGATAAGAATAAATGTGTGCCACCAAAACAAGGAAGTAAACAAAGAAAGGGGAAGACATGGAATTCTGGCAATAGAGAAACCAGCATAGGAGAAAGGGAAGTGAAGTTGCAGAATGACAGCTTTGCCTAAAGAGTCAGCCAGCTGTGATGCATGGGGCAGGAAGACAGATCAGTGCAAGGGCTTTTAGCAAAAACTCATGGCAGTAAAGATACTATGGTACTGTGAACAAGTGTGGACAGAAGTCCTTAATGGTGGTAGGTGACATGAAATAATAAAAAAAAAAGCAGTAACTAGTTCACTGAGGTGTGCAAAACTGTACAAAACAAAGGCTTTTGAATTGTAATTACAATGCATTATTTACTTAGCTATAAGGAATATAATAATATATAATTAGAAGGTCAATATCAGACACTGATTTATCAATAATAATAATAATAAAATAATTCACCACGCAAACAGAATAGAGGTAGGAGATTTGGGAAATAAAATAGATCAGACTACTAAATTTTTCAACTTGAAGAAGTTAACAAAAAATACTTCAAACATAAAACTGTAAAACCAATAAAGAAATAGATAAGGCATCTTACTTAGAAACTTCCAATACATACTAGATGAAAATAATGGAAGACCAGGAGCCAGCCATGGAAAGAGGGGAAAGATGAGAGGGGCTGGAGGTGAGAAATTCCTTTTATGACTTTGTGTGAGGGACCCTGAAAGAAATTCTTGGACAATGAGTACTATGACAAGGCCACGTGTGAATTTCAAAGAAGTTAAAAAAATGCATAAAAATAAATTTATCTTTCAATTCCACTTTCCATATGTTTAAGTATCCTCTTATTTGTGTTATATTGACAAAAATCAAAAGTAATTATTCAGAACACAAAGATTAAACTTAACTATCTTCTTCCCTAAACTTGTCCTTACTTCTCTATTTTCTTGCTTGGTTGGAAATATTCGCATCCACTGAAATCTTGAAACTAGAAACCTGAGACCTAGTTCCTTCCTGTTGCCTTCCCACAGCCCATCAATAAACAAATGACTCTGCTGGATGTCTTTCAAATCAGCCTTCCTCTCTGACCCCATCCCACAAGCCTAATCCAGGTCGTGGTAACTGAATTTGTGCAAATCTTCACCCCAGTTTTCACTCCTGACTTTAACTCTCAGCTAGGTGAGTCTCTTCACTCCCTTCTTTGCCTGGGGTCAACCCCACTTCAGGGCTGCGGAGTGGAGTGGTGGTTGGTGGTGTTACGAAATGTATACCAATTGGAAACGTGATGAAGTGATAGAAGTGGAGAAATCCCAGAAGGGAAGCTGGAAGAGGCAGCAACGTTGATGACAGAGACACTTGCTCAGCCTCTCTGCCTCCATCGTGTAGTGGTGAAGAGCTGTGCATGTTGAAAAGAACACCAAGGCTGTGACATAAGGATGGACTACAGCGAGCAAGAGAGGTACAGGAAGAGCAGTGTCGGTTTCACCTTCATTTAGAATAATAAAGGCGACAAGAGCCTGAGCCAGGGCAAAGAAATAAAAATAGTGTGGACAGGGCAGAATTCAAAACAATTTGAAAGTGAGACTGGAAGAATCTGTGTGAGATGAATTATCATTGAATTAGAACAAAGGAACTAGGGTGGATGCTCAAATTTGTCCTAGAGGATAGTCTCCTAAGATCTCCCTCTTCTTGTATTTTTTTTTCAAGTGTTTAGTTAACATTACTGTGGGAGTGGGTGGAAGGATTAGACCCTACAAAAGTGACACTCAACCCCCTCACCCGGTTAATCGGGTTGAGTTATCCTCAACAGGACCCTGGCAATGTCTTTCCATGTCCAAGGCTGCACTTCAACTGACAATCTTGTCTCCTAACATTGTCGTGAATGGTCTCCTCCAATTCTTAAACAGAGACTGCCGAGAGAACCCATTACAGAATCACCATGACAATGGCCAGTCCATTGAGTTTCCTCTTTCATGACCCTCCTGTAAAAGTGAAATGTAAAAAGTAAAGATAATGTGAGGTGATTATTGTTTAAAGTATACAGAGGTTAAAAGTAAAAACAACATGGTGGCTATTGTCCAAGCTCACCATTGTTCTGAGGAAATAAGCCATAACTAGGACAGAAATTTGCTTTGCTCTTGCTTCTGTAAAATGCTTTTGCAAATAGAGTTAGTTAAGAAGGGCCTACAGAATAAAATATTAATCATTAAAGGAGTGGGCCCCCTGTACCAGGAATTTTTGTGATTTACTCCCCCCTTCAGTACCAGGAA